CTAAATATCTAATTAATTAATAAACAAATTACTTTTCCCAAGCTACTTTTTCCCAATAGAGGTGTGAAATATTGTTATAACTACTGTAGTAATGAGAGAGAGAGAGAGAAAGAGAGGGAGAGAGAGAGAGAGAGAGACTCAATGAAACGTTACTAACGGAATGAATGAGAGATTAACCGAAGTCTCGGAAACGACTCGCAAAACATGTGCTCCAAAAATGTCATAAAAATAAAAAGCCAACAAAAAAGTCAGTATTGTTTACATCAGATTCGAGTTAATATCACAATATATTTCAATTAATTCTTCAGCACATCCCCAGACACTAGCGGTTGCCCGCGTCTCACGAACGGCTGTCCACTTCCTGTCGTTCCTCATCGTTGTTACTATTGGTGAATACGGCAGACATGGTGAGTCCGCACAGGCATGTCATCACTAACGCGAAGCCAATGAACGTCGACGTAACCAACCAGAAGGCGTACAAATACACCGTTCGGTTGCAGTAGCGCACCGACAGCCTGTCCTCGAACTCCGGCAGGTATGCCCTGTAGACTACGATACAGCCTTTCCCGCAAACAATACCACAATTTATAATTAATTTATAATTAATTAAAAACATTTACAAAGTTCAATCGATTTATGCTGTAAATACTGGCAAAGGGAACGGTAGGTCCCATACATACCGGCCACAAACCAGCCAAACAAAAAACAGTTGAGAAGTGACTCGTGCTTCCGGTGCCGGAGCGCCGCCTCGGCTTCGGTCTCGAGTGCTGTGGAGTGGCGACAGTGCGCCCACACATTCATCACATTCTTGAACAGCCAGACCATACCCCCTATGAACAGAAACTCCGGTATGTTCTCCACATTGCAGTCATTCATATACACCGTTCCCACGATTATCATCGACAATGGTATGACAATCGTGAAGCCAATGATTACCGTACAGCCAACTGGGGGCAGTGAACAGACAAGTAATTAACACAGGTTTGGGGGTTGGGGTCACTCACGAGTTCCGATCAGAATAATGAATAGCTTGCGTACGAAATCCCATGGAGTGGCGGCTGACTTGCGGGCGTCCCTTACCTGTCCAAACAGGGACTGGTATGATGGGGGAGGGGCTGTAAGGGGTAGACATATGCTGTTAATTTGAGAGAGAGAG